GTCCCCAGCCTGAGCTTGGGGACATGGTGCTAGGCTGGATACATGAAGCACTCGTGTAGCTGCAAATTGTTTGCCTGCTCTGCTGAGTGGATTTGCCTTTCTTTAATGGCCTGGAAAATCATGACAATTAAAGAAAATCTAAAATCCCATTTAGATTCCAGTAAAGCTATCCAGCCACTACATGTACCTTACTCCCTTGAGCACCTGACAAAGTGTGCAAAAGTTGACAAGCAGATACCATCGGCATATTTATAGAGTTTCCTGTATATTCATAAGAGAACTGTAACCCTCATCATGTGGGCAATTCTTTTACAGATCTTGGTTTACCCCCAGGTAAAAAAACCAGCCGTGAATGGAGAAGTGGCTTCTTCTTGAGTGACTGTTCTTTGCTCAGTTTGGTTTTTATGTTCTAGTCTGGAAAGGGAGTGAGGAAGCTAAAAACCAAAACATCTTGTTTCCTTAGAATACAAACAGGAGATACTGTGATTGGGCAAAGATAAAATATTTTGCTCAAAATATCAGCCGCTCTTAATGACTGATTTTCAAGTTAGGAAATATATTCACTACTTTCACAAAACATCAGTGGTCTACTGATACCAGTTCATAAAATAAAATACAGGCCTGGAAAGGTATCCAGAATGGTTTGAAGTACATAAAACACTGTCTTTTTTTTTTTTTTTCCTTACCACCATGTATTGGTTGGGGGAACTAAGTATAATATACTTTTAGATAAGCCTCTTAAGCAGTTTTAACATCTGAACTGTAATTATGAAAGACTTTTCAGTAATAAAACTCAGTATTTCTCATGTGGATATAAAAGTGTTAAAAACCAGTTAATGAAAAAAGTTCATATAGTTCAGCAAATTTACATAAATGGTTCATTTAGTGATGGAAATGCATTAAGTCCTTCCTTACCAAAAACTTACTAAAGATAACATGCAAATAAAAAAAGGACAAAAACTTTAAAGGAAAGTAAGATATCTAAGCTGTATTTCAAAGCTGCTGTAAATATAATTTTCAGTAATAGGAGTATTATATTATATTCTTACACCTCCTAGCTTGTGTTTGAATGACAAAACCAGAAATCTTCAGCATATTTTTCATTGCCTTTGTCATTGAAGCTGTGTTAAGTAACTGGATGTAATATATTCTTTGCTGGGTAGGATTGCATAGAGTCAGGAAAAGGAGACCAAAAAAAAGCGTGAAAATAAATTGAAAAAAATCTTACAAGCAGCACTAATATACAGGTTTACTCCTTATGTGACCTACAAGAAAAGCATTCAAGGAAAATATTCTTGGAATTATTCAGAAGGAGGGAGATAATTATTAACACTTGAACAGGCAGAAAAAACAATGTAGAAATTTGGCTAACAACATTTTCTCCTTCCTCCTCTCTGTTCTTCCTCATCTGGGTCTGAGTTCCCTGTACACATGCTTTAGGCAAACTGTAAAGGTTTATCCACTTTCAGGTTATAGAATGATTCCAGTTATGCTAGTTGACCCAATTTTGGATATGAAATTTCTTGTATTGTATGGTTCTTACAAAACATGTCAGATGTGAATGGTATCACTTAGAAATCCACAGATTTACTGCAGGCAGGAAGACGTCTTCTTGGTTAGAGCATGGTGTTAGTAACACCTGGTCATGGGTTGGATCCCTTTTTTGGACACTCAAGAGCTAGACTCGATGATCTCTGTGGATCTCTCTCAACTCAGAAAATTCTGTGATTCTGTGATTCTTCTACTTGCAACAATATTGATGAGCAATGGAAAATTGGAATAGGCAGTAAAAATTGTTTATTTTAAAAGAGGAAAGATGCGGAAATCCAAGGAGTGGCCATATCAGAAAAGAAATATTTGAATGTCTAAGTTAAGTTATTGAGTAAAGAAAGACTTAAGTAGGTGGCAGTAAACTGTGATTTGCAAGCAGATCTCCAAGGCATCTTGCTGTGAAAACAATGATGGGAACTGTGTGGGATATTGTCTTGGACAAGAAACACTCAGTGTGTAGGGAGGTTTCAGTAAACAGGACATAGTAGGAGGTGGCAGTGACTAAAAAGCACCCTTCCAGAGCTGGATGCCTGCTTCCTGTTAGGCACCGTTTTGTGGGAAGGGAAGTGTTCGACAGCATTATTTCCCTTCAGTGATACCACTGGCTTGTGTACCACCGTATCCCCTTCTAGCAGGTACATAGGGTCTAAGGGCTCCCCACCCTCTGGAGTATAAACGGAGTGGATGGATCTTGGTGCCTGGCTGAAACAGGGATTTGAAAGGTTTGCTCTTAGGTACCTAATCTGCTTCCTGTATTGCTGATGGTGAATTCTCTTTCTCATTTGTAAGTAAAAAAATTGCATTGGAACCCATCTCTTGAAGAGGGGAGAGGAAAGAGCATTATAAGGAGCCAACAGTGATAAAAATTTTTAGGAGTAATCTGACTCTGAAAGTCTATTCAGGAAGCATCTGTGAGAGAAGCCTGCCACCTGTGCAGCAAAGGGAGAGACATGGGAAGCCAGCCTCTGCAGGCTGCAAATCCCATGGGAGTGTGATCTGGGAGCCCTGTGCCCACGCTCTGTGGCACCACTTCCACTGCTGCCTTGGGCACATGCTGTCCCATCCATGAGGATGAGAAAACATACAAGAGAACTTCCCAAGGATTGCTGCCTCTAGTACATAAGTGTGGCACAAAAAATACCGAAGACACCAAATTCCTAATATGAAACCAAAATTATCAAAAGGCAAGAACTGTGACTTTCCCAGGTCTGCTGAGGAATGAAGAATTTGACTCAATGATGTCATTAATTTTCATCTTAGTGAGGGAACAGCAAGACAGCTTTTTGTTGTAGGTTGATGTTATCATCTCTGACCTTGATGGCATTATGTTGCTGTGTGCAATGCACTTAGTGATATGTTTCAAATGTCAGACCCTATTTATGAGGAGAGGAGCTTATTTGGAGGCTACAGGGAGCACTGCTGTAAGGCTGATGAAATTAGTTCCCAAAACTTTGCTGAACCTCTTTTGCAGGATCTGTTTAAAATAAAGCAAATTACTTTTCCAACAAAATTCCCATACTTTTTCACCTCTCCAAATACGCATAGTGGTTTAGAGGGTTAATCGGTATTTTACAGTTCAGCATGATTCTCAGATCTGGTTTCTAGTGGTTTCCTCCCCAGCAAATCAGATTGCAACAGCTGTATCTATTTTAATGGTCTCTACTGTTGACTTGGATTATAGCATGTTATTTGTTCACCCTCTCCAGCTGTATTAGCAATGACTAAGCCATTTCTACAGCACTTGCAAAGTATCATGAGGAAGCATTTATTTGGGTCATCAATTAACCTCTCCACATGTGAGTGGTTACATTCTTTTTTAAAATTTCCTCAGCATCTTGCAGGATTAAACTGTGATCTGATCAGATCAAAAGAGATGAAAATTCTACTAAAAAAAGCCTTACAATTTATTTAAATRTTGCATTGAGCATGCATGCACTTCCCATTTGTCCCCCAGCTCTTGGAGAGCACCAGTGCAAAGCTGTAACTGGTTATCTACTAGCTGGCTCTTGCTTTCTTTCCATTTCTGGATCTTGTCTAAAGTGGACAGATCCAATGACCTGATGCAGTTTGCCTGGTGCAAAACTTTGTGAACACACTTTGCAGCCACATGCTCGCATTTGTGGCTGGGGTTCTTTTAAATAGGGAAGTAGAGCTTACAGCCAGCAGACCGTATTTTGTCTGCAGTCARGCTGCAGGAGGCAGGTTCTAAGCCAGAAGCAAGCTCACATCACCTGATGAAATGCTTCTAGTGAGAATGTATCAATCCCTGCAAAATCCTTGCCATGCTAAATTAAGCAAACCTTCCCATGGGAAATTAGCTATATCAGTGACAGCTGATACAGGAGGCCTTTTAACAACACAAACTATGCTGATTATGAATTTTGCCTCTGCCAATATTGCCACAACATGCTGCTGGTGTAACTGGAACATTAGCAAGCTTCCTTGTGTATGTTCAGTGCCTGGCACATCCTCGTCTCCAAATGTTATGCAATACAAGCTTGCTAGCTTGCTTCATATAGAAAATTATGTACCTTACCTCCAAYGAAAGACAGACTGAAGAGCAGAAGGTATGGGTGAAACAGCATATACATCAATGGATTTAATTTCTCTTGGCTAGATGTTCACTCCTTCMCTTTCCCCCTGGAACAAGCTGTTAATTTTCTGTGCCAGCTGGCACTGCAAGGTGCAGTAAGCATAAGGGTATGGTTACATTTAAGCATGTCAAGTCTAAACTTTACTGGTTCAGTTTCCTCAAAAAGCTACCACATTGTGCTTTGCTGCATGGCCACACTCAGTTCATAGAATCATCAATTCCTAGAATGGCTTGYATTGGAAGGGACCTTACACATGATCTTATTCCAGCCTCCTGCTGTGGATAGATACTCCTTCCACCAGACCAGGTTGCTTGGAGCCCCATGCAGCCTTGGCTTGAACACTCCAGGGATGGGGCATCCACAACTTCTCTGGGCAACTCRTTCCAGTTCCTCATCTACCTTTGAGTAAATTTCTTTCTAAATCCAATTTAAAACTCCCCTACTTCAGTTTAAAGCCATTACCCCATATCCTATCACTGAAGGTCCTGGTAAAAGTCTGTCTTACCAACCTCCTTTAGGTACTGAAAGGCTGCAACAGCATCGCATCCTTAACCAGGATGCCTAGCACACGCTAATGGTAGGAACCAAAAGACAAGCTAGCTCCAGCTGCTGGAAGTTATCTCAATTGACACACATTGCACCAAGCAATAGGTGTGTTTTGGTCCCTCACATTCTGAAAACCATACAGACTGTTTTGAAATGGAGTATGTAAAAATGCAAAAGAAACAATTTCAGTGTCCAAGATTCAAAATAATGCTAAGAAAATAATTTTCTAGAGATAATACAAATAGGATAGGAAAACAAAATACTTKCACTTATTTTTCAGGTACTGGATGGATGGAGTGATTCCATATATCAGAATTTATTCTGTGTGAGAGGCACAATTGAAAATACTAAAATGGGATTTCTGCAATATACTGAGCTAACAATGCAAAAGATTTGTCTGAAAAAAGTTTATTTGAAAAACACTCAACAACTATTAAGAAATTATTCTCCCCTTCTACATTAACCTATTTACATATACTATACATATTTATATATGTATCTATGCACACATACATACAGAGTTTAATTTGAATTGTGCATTACTATAATGGATCCATAAAGCAATGTATCATAACACAACCTGGTTTAAGGTTTTATGTTTCTTGGATATAACATAGTCTTCTTTCTGTCCACAACTGTGTAAAAATTAAACATGTAAAATATGTTTTCTCAGTGCATCGCTAGTAATTTCCTGTAGACACTGTTATTCACATTAGTGGTCAATGTAGCCCTTCTGCTACTAGTGGTAGACATCAACTGGCCACTGCTGTTATTACTGTTAGGATCAAAATTGTTTTTACAATTGAAGAGACTGAAAAATTGTCTCTGATACTGAGAAGAAGCATAGTAGTAAATAAAGGGGTCAATGCAACAGCTAATGCTACTGATAGACACACAGAGTAGATATGCGAAGTAGAGATACTCTAAGCTGTTGTCATAAGAAAAATGGATATAATGAATTAAGAGGAGGACATTTGTTGGTCCAAAGCAAATAACGAAAACCGAAAAAACAGCCACGCACAAGAGCAAGGCACGTGTCTTCTTGTTTTGCTTTGCAACGATAGTAGAAGAGCTAAGACAGCGAATGATACACACATAACAGACAGTAGAAATTATAAATGGCACTATGAAAAACACAGAAGAGAAGATGGAGAAGAAGTGGAGGTAATAGCCTTGAAGTTCAGATTCTCTTAGCACATCGTGACAAGTCGTTATATTTAACGTGGGTATTTCCATTGTTTGCTCTCTTAGGAGAAAAGGTATAACCCCAGCTATAGCTACAACCCATATGATGAAACAAACCAGTGAGGCTCGTGTTAGTGTACGCCACCCCAGGGACCGCATAGGGTACACCACAGCTAAGAAACGATCAAAGCTTATGCTCGTCATCAGCATTATTGAGCAGTACATGTTGCAGAAGAAGGCAGCAGTGATGAAACGGCACATCTGAGGCCCAAAAACCCAGTTATTTCCAGAAAAGTGATAGACAATCTTAAACGGAAGCACGCTTGCAAACAGGACATCTGCAAGGGCCAAGTTCAGCATGTATATTACAGCCGGCTTTTCAATTTTCATTTTTTTCAGAAACACAAGTATTGCTGTGATGTTCAGAGGGAGACTCAGCACAAGCACTAGGGTGTAAACTGAAGGAACAAAACGTGTCAGCCATGGACTAGTGAGGTATCTTGCTGTTTGAACTGACATCATTTGTTGTTCAGGTAAGAATGATCTGGTCTGATTGGTGGCTCCTGATCCAGCTTCCAAGTAATTTTCAATATCACCGTCAATAGGAATAAGGTCATCCTGGCGATCAGCAGAAGAAATAATAGCAAAACTTCTGATGCCTGGTATGGTGCTGTTACCTAGAAAGCCTGAAAAACAAAAAAAGTATTAATAAGCCAATATTTAGGTCATATGGGGAAGTCAAAACATCTTTCAAAAACAAAACCTATGGTTACATTAGTAAAACAAAACAGTAAGTTTAGTTTCAGATTCAAAGCACAGGCTGCCCACAGTTCACCCATTTTATTTTAGCTCTCCCTGCCACAAATTTGGGTAAAATGTCTTTGTCTCCTATCTCTTAGTTTGAAAGCCTTTATTAGTAGTGATTCTTCTTACTTTAAGGATCCAATCTAATCTATGCTTTCTTTGAAGTACTTAAACACAACAATAAATTTGCCACCCTTGAACTGGCTTGGACAGACCCTTCACACRTTTTGTAAGAAATGAGATGCTGGCATAAATACTAGAATTCATACACAAAATTCCCACTAGAAGTACTCACCACCAAAATCACAAAAAGTATAACTGCAATTGAAAGATCATGGTTTTGAARTATTTCTGTGTAGTCTGGAGACACCATGCTCAACTCAAAGGCCTCCATCAAGAGAGAGGGCAAAGTCTACATGCAGTTTTCAAGGTAGACGTGCATCAACAATTTACTTGTAAGAGACAGGTAGCCACAGCTGCACTGGAACAGTTCCCGAGTTCTACTTAACCCTAACCCACAGTATGCAGGACAGCATGTGTGGTATGTGCCCCTGGGGCACTTCTGAAACCTAGAGTTCCCTCTAGACCAGGGTCTTCTGCAGCATGGTTTGGTAGCTGTGACTAAATCAGGACAGCRTATCTGCTCTTTGAATGTAATGAGTCAGAAAATCAACGTAAGAAAGTGTTAAATGTGTGGTAAGATGTTATTTATGTAAAAAAAATAACCCMAACAATCAAAATAACTATATAGTCATTATTTCAGCAAAGTTGTTTGTATAGAGAAATATTTTGAAGACTGCAGTTTTCAATTTTGGCTTAATCTGTTTAGGTGTAAGCTAATTCAAGTGTACTGTGGGTACACAGAAGTGAGAAAGTTACAACCACTTAAATAACCACTCACCTGTTTAGCTGTATAATTGATCCACTGTTGGATCCTAGACRATTGAAATAAAAATGAGCGTGTCTTAGCTCAGATCTGTAAGCTGAAAGTACATGGTCATGATTTGCCTACGTGACATGCTGCATCTTAGAAGCAATTATTTGTTCTATAGWAATTGAAACCAACGTTTTCAACCAAAGCATCTGAAGGAGGCARATGGTGAGTAGAGTAGAGGAGTGGCTGCAGCTTTAAGCAGCCAGTTACCTCCCTTTGTGCACAGGCTGTGGGAGAAGAGTCCTACCCAGGCTGGAATTTTGCGAAATTCAGACTTGAATGTGGGGGGAGATCAGAGAACTAGTAAAGCAATTTGGTGATTTTTTTAAAAGCAGCATGCTGTGCTTTATGTACTGTGCTGTGCCACAGCAGCATTCTAGGGTCAGAGAGACAAAAGGAGGGAAGTGTTTGAGAATAGTTTTCATATGCAAAGTGACTGGATTGCAATCTCTGCCGGTCAGGAAAAAAAAAATAATGCGGGATAAGAATTTTAGCCTGGGAGTTTGTTACACAGACTGCAGTAGGAATGATTTTGTTTGAAACAGAAATGACAGTACATGAGATTCAGTCCTGTGCACAGATGGGCATCAAGTGCATTTATACGACGGTCTATTCTGTCGTTTTAGAGAGAATATGAACACCAGGCAAAACCACAGAGTGTTAATCTTTACCACTTCCTCACTAGTCCAAGAAGTTGGATGGCTCAGAGTCAGCTCCTACCTCAGCAGTTAAGTTTCAGCCCAAGTTCTAYATGACACCTTTAACTTTAGCCTGCAGCTGACATCAAAGAGTTAGGAGATTTTCTGTATTTAATGATCATTGCAATAGAAATATGTCACAACTGACACCACTGGTCTTCATCTCTTTTGGGAGGATTATAACTATACTTGAATGAAAAGACACCCAATTTCTAATGCCCAAAAGYTTGTCTCTGTGATAAAAATGTTAGTAGAAGTGAGGAAAAATCTGTTAACTGTACCTATTGTATCTCCAGTACAAACAAGTTTCATTAATTCATGACCTGGAAGGCTGTGAATAYACATTTTTAAACCAGAAAACCATTGAAAGAGAAGACAATGATGATTATAGTCCCCCAAATATATACATGTCCTTCTTGCTTTCTCCACACTGAAGAACAGTTTGGAGAACCAAAGGAAGAGATGACATGGTTCCATGTGAGAAAGGCATATTTTTGTGAACAGAGATATAACCAGCAAAGAGAGGGAGGCTAAAGCCTGGAGTTAGGAGCTGTGTTGCCCAGATAACCACTGCATGACATAGTAACTGAGGCACTAGCACCTCTCTCATCCCTGAACTTTGAAGGATGTGAGCTGTACTGCAATATCACACTTTTGAGAAGCAGCAAGCCAGCTCAGAGAGCTACTAATGACTGAAGTTAAGTCACTTAGTGTGGATGCCCAGCGTRATAGCCTGACCCACTTCTCATTACTAACTCCCAGCTTAGAACAGTATGAAAATACAGTGCAATTAAAAATGGCTTGGGTCAGGTACCTTTTATTGATCACCAACTTCTGTCTTAGCTATTGCTTATAGTTAACTGAACATGGCTAACAATTGAATTTTATCCTGAATTCTTGRAGCCCTCTTAGATTATTAGATTAAAGGATTTAGAGTCACTATTACTACATTGTAAAAAAATTCTAAAAATAGAACCCTATTACAATAAATCAGGAAAAAAAATTATAAATAATTTCTGTTTCATTAAAATTCTCTGGAATAGTATTTCAGTTTGGTGAAAACTATGTATTCTTTGTGTAAGTAAAGACTTTCTAAGTTCAGAGTTGAACACAACCTTCATCCTGTCAACATCACCCCCATGCTGTCTCCTGTACTCAGTCCATGTCCCCATCTTGAACTCAGGTACAGGAGGTACTACTTGAAAGCCAGCTTTGTAGAAAAATGTAATGAGACATCACCCTTGCTATTTCTCTGCTACGTGATGATATAAAGAATGGCAATTTAAACTTTCTTGATGAAACTGAATTTAATTTGAAAGCTTGACAACCACATTTCAGTTCTTATTTTATATCAAGGTGCTTGCATGACACAGGGTAGTGTAATTCTAGAAAAAAAAATGCATTCCATACTTTCTGAAACAGAAAGGCACAGAGTTACTGCCCTGGGGTTTTCTATTCCTTTTGTGTCAATATTTATTTGAAAAAGCCAAAGATAAAGAGATTTATACATAGAAGGGAATAGGGTGAAATGATGTCATATTATTTCAAAATATCATGATGAACCTTCTCAACAAACAAAAAGGTCAGTACAGGAAACAGGCATTATCTTAAAACTGGGTTAGTACATTACAGATACATACAGTAGCACTACGGAAAAGATTTTGAAACTACTGTTACATTGCTAACACTATACCAGAATCTGTGAAATAGTTCTAGCTGCTTAAAAGCTGTAATTTATCTAAAACATATTTCACTACAGCTTAGCTGTTTTTTAATAATTCAAATAATCTGTTAGGAAAACAGAAGTAAAACTTGTATAATGATCATAAATACTCWAAGGGTCATCTTATTTTTTTAGGCTGTCACCCAGTCCTTCTGGGAGAAGCCAAGCTTGGTGGATTTCTATTGCTATTACTAATAGTAACTCTGTCATATCAGAAGTGAAAAAAACTGCTTATCAAAACACTTATAAAATTAAACATGTATGAAGGAACAAGACTAGTAAATTATGAACAAAGAAAGAGCAGGAAACAAAAACACTGAGGTTTTATCCTTGTGGTGTGTGTAGTCAGGACACTGAACGATATACATAAAGTCTTTTTCTTTTCTTTGCCTCCAATAAGCACTTCAAAAAGCAAAAATTACAAAATTACGCAGAATCAATGTGACACTCAAGTTGCCCGAAGTTTTCTTGTATACCTGCGGTTTTTGCATCAGTTCTCCAACTCAGATGTAAGAGAAATTCTGTAGAAAGCTCAGTAAGTTTGTGATTGTTTAATTTTAACAATCTACACTGTGCTATTTTCCATTAAGTACTACATATTGTTCATCTCACAATCATTCTGCTTTTTTTAGAATGCAGAGATATGACTTCTTTTCATGTCTACTTTTATATGCAAGGGACTACTGTGCATACTATTCTGTGAAAGGAGAATTAGAGACCAAAAAATACAACAGCTTCAACCAATCCTAAAAAGCACTCTCGAGCTCCAGAAAAAAACTTGAAAAATATTTCTGTAGACCCATAAATCTGGACAGGATGTTACAAACCAGCAGTCGTCATATCCCAAGGGATATCTTTGTGATGTGGAAGACTAAAGAACAGGCTCCTACACAAGCCAATTAAATACGTTCCCTGTGTGCTGCTGGGCAACAATTAATACTGATTTCTGGGCATTACTGGYGACTGCACCCATGCTGCTGACTTATAACAAAAAGGTTTCTTTTATCTTCCCTTTGTATAACCCGAAGTGATAAGCATCTAGAATCTAAATTACTCAGTGGGCCATAAATTAGGCACTTGAAGGCAGACTGTGAAGTGCATGCCAGACACGTTAATAAACAAAGACAAAATCTTGTAGGAGTGATGGCAGTTACTTGCTTTTATAAAAATAAACTCTGAGTTGTTTATGAGTTCACATCTCCATTTACACAATTCATTATTAGATTACACAAATGATGTRGCAATGTGAACACATTTTCCTGAAGTATTGTTTTCTTGCCACCATGTGTCTGCTCCTTTCTTTGCTTTCCTTTGTCTATCTCTGTGTTGGCTTCATGTGCGGGCTTCAAACAAGAACATTTCTGTGTCTTACCAGGAGTGTGCCAAGGCAGAGAAGTCCAGGCAATTTCAGACGTTAGGCACCACAGCAGCACCTGTGCAAGCACTTGACACCAAACTACTGCCAAGCTAGTGCTTTTTCACCTGCCCACAGGGACAGCACAGGTCAGYAACGTGGTAACTGTGCATAGTGATGGAAGGAGGGAAAAGCAGGAGAGCAGCTGCARGTTCAGACATAGAGCAGACCTCAGAACACAACACTGCATGGGCAACTGGAATTAGGTATATTGTGGTGGAAACAGGGAAGGTTATCTGGGTGAGTGGGGAAATTATAACATTACAATGGGAGTGAGCACAGGAAGAGGAGAAGACATTCACATGTTCGGGCTTTATTCTGTTGTGCATAAAGCAACTTGGTTTGAATTTTTCTTTTCCTAACGATCCAATACAGTAACTATTTCAATCACTATTTTCAAAGTAACAAATAAGAAGTGTAGTTCTGGGTGCTCTTTAATGAAGACTGTAATCGCAAAAGGCAGAAACCCAAGTTTGAATGTCTCCATAAACTGGAAGAGTAACACTGAACACTGCAATTCTTTCCCTAGAATTAACATGTATAGTCTATCTTTTACAACTCTTTTTTCGTTAGACCTCCCATATGAACATGATTTCAACAGCTTCATTTCCACTTGTCGTTGTGCCAAAAAATCGTCTAGCAAAAACTATTTGCCCTCTCTAATGCCTCCCTCCCAGCATAGTTACAGACACTAGGTCTATCTCCTTTCAGTTCAGCTCAGTAGCCAAAGTACGCTATGCTCTGCAATTTCCCCTTAGCTGCTCATCTATCAGCCCTTTTATGCAGGTAGGACCTGACGCATTACTGCCGGCATCTCAAGGGACCAAGCTACTTGTACAGCAGCACTATCAACACTAGCTGATTGTGAGAAATCTTAAACTGAACCAAGCAAAACAGTAATAGCAAAAAAAAAACCTTTGCTAATCTTTAAATGCATATTGCACTGCTGTACCTCTACCTCAAGCTGTAGGGTTACATCCTTAAGAAGATTCGTATCTTCTCTCTCCTTCCTTCCCTCAGCATCTGCATTGTCTAACAAGCTCTGAGCTGGACGGATCCATAGGGTCACCAGTTGGGATACCGATGTTGCTATTAGTGAATGATCATGAAATAACCATGGAAGTCATCCACTTGGAGCAGATATTCTTAAGTGTTTTGTGCTGGCAGATCTTCCGAAGTTTGCGCTGCCTAGAAATTCAACTGTTACTCCACCTTCTTAAAATGTTAATGAAAGGCAATAGTAGTTCTTTAAGAGAATTCACCAGCAACTCTCGCCAGTCTGATCCCCTTTCCATCACCACCGCCTTCCCGCCTCCGTAGCTACGGCGTCACTCCAAACCACCCTTCACCACCACCAACAGCCTCACCTCGYCGCTGCCAGGAGCACAAAGAGCCGCGTGTAACAACGCCGAAGAAAACTCGGCCGAACTCGCACCAAAACTCGGGGCGCTTTTTGTCGATTSCCCCCGTTCCCGGAACACCCCGGCCCCCCAGGCCCACCGCCTCCCCGCGGACCCACCTGGCCGTGGCGCGGCGGCAAGCGGCGGGCAGCACAGCACCGCCAGAGCGCACAGCAGCGCCCGGGGCCGCATGGCCGCCCGTCTGTCCGTCCGTCCGTCCGTCTGTCCGTGCGTCGGTGCGGGCAGCAGCGCGGGGCTGGCGAACGAACGCAGCGCTCGGAACGCTGGGCTGGCCAAGGGCCGTGCCGCCGCTTCCTCCCGCCGCGCCGCCCCGGTGCAGGGAGGGGGCTGCGCGCCGGGGCCCGGCGGCACCGGGACGGGAGGGGACAGGACGGAAGGGGAGGAGAAGGCGGGGGACAGCGCTGCCGCCCCCGCGGGACACGCAGCCCAGCCGGCAGCCCCCGCGCCCAGCCGGGACACGGGAAGCGCTGCCGGGCTCGGCCGGGGTGACAGGTCAGGGGGTCCAGAACAAAGGGTTATGCTCAAGCAATTACTCGAAGCAGAGTTTGCCAATTTTGCAGTCCGAGTGCCTCACGGGAGCAGTTCCAGGCCAGATGAAATGCCTGCATTACTCAGAACTGAAAGATCGCGCTGATTGAGAAGAGCCCCTTACAATTGATCTGCTTCGTATAAAGGAGATGACGTTCCCGCATGATTGTGTTGCATGGGTTCAGTAAACTTAACTGCTCTACAAACACAGGGCAGCCCGAACGTGAGTCATTGCCCAAGCCTGCAGACATGTCTGCTGTTCCGAAATTTCAGAGAAAGTGGTGCTACTCCGAGTCCGGTGTCATGTGCYATGGACAAACTTGAGAAAGCTTGTGAACTTCTCTTAGAGATGCTCATGAATTCAAGCGGTGGTTGAAGTGAAACCTACATGAAAGTTGTATAGGAAAATAATTTTGTAAATTTGCAGCTATTTTTTTAGCCTCTTTCCTGTRAAAACATTCCGTTGGTGTTGGAGTGGTTTTGAGTATTTATTAAGCCTGTAAGMTATTCAAAGGCTTTATAAGTGTACATTGGCTTGCTAGGGTATGCTCTCTTGCTTCAACAGTACATCCATTTACAGTAGCACAGGGAAACGGAGGAGGGAAACGCTCATTTGAACTTTCTTATGTGTATGAAGTGCCTTTATTATTGCAGAAGCATTGACCTTTGATTTTAATGGAGAATGAAACCCATGGAAAACAAATTTATCTGATCATAAATACTGGTTCCTGGTAAGTTCTATGTCTCTATGGTGTTCCTCCCACTGGTAGTCCWGTCACTAGCTATAGTATGGTTGAAGCTGACTCGAATTTGTATAGAGCAAGAAATAAACACAAGTTTTACAGCTTTTCTACAGCCTTTCTACAGCTCTGTCATCCCACACACTACTTAAAATGCCTTATACTTAATTGAACTACTAATCTGTTTAGAAATACCTTAATTAGAGGTGATTATTCCATCTGGGAAGAAAAAGTGAAGCTATTCGTGGTCATTTCTGTGGTCTCACAGTTGTATAAACATACGCAATGGTTACTCTTACAACTTTCTAAACCCAAAATAGAACTGAACTAAAACATGTTTGTAAATATGATACAAGACTTCCAAAAATCATATATCGCCAGTATTTTTCTTGCATTTCAGGAGGCYTTAACCAGTGGGCCAGTCCTTGAGGAATAAATCAGTTTACCAAGTTTGTGAAACATACGAAGAGAAATTCMGATTGAACCTGCAGGGAGCATTTTAGTCAGAGACTAAAGAGAAACAATGCTAGGGCTATGCCCTTTCATCTTTGTAAACTGGTTATTATTAATGCAGCAAGTGAATAAAACCCAAGCTTGTTAAATTTTATGTCTGTTTATGAAAACCAAATTTAAGTTTTGTATCCTGTAGTTTTGTGAATCAACTTGCTCCTTCCTCTCAGGATCAACTTAATGTAATAAAGATTAAGAATTCATGACTTCTATAGCTTTAGTTTTTAATTCCACTTCTTGCACCTTTTTCAGAGTTTTGGGTTTTTGGCAAAGTATGTTACAAAACAAAATTGCATTCATTCTAAACACAGCAAGTCTACCAAAAAAGACTGTACCTATCTAATGAGACTGCTAAATCAGTCATTACTTTTTGTGGAAGGAGATCTTTCTGCTGCTCAATAAACAGATTACCCTGGTGCATGTCAGGGGTGGGTAGCTACTGCTGAAAAATGAGCATGGAAGCATATCTCAAGAGGGGAAATCAGTCATCTAGGAAGAGGGTTGTCTGTCTGGGCATAAACTTTCTGAAATCACATGTGACTGTCAGTGTTTGGATTTTCTGTGAGTGAAGKTTGTTTTTAATCCTGTTTTCTTTAAAAGAAAGACAGAGAGCTAAAGGAAGTCTGCAGATAAGTGCAAAATAGAGCAGAGTAAAGCTAGTGCTTGCATTGGTGTTTCTGTCTGCTTGGCCTAAGCAGAAGCACAATGTTCTGCCATTTCGTGGATGGTTTTGGATCCTGAGAGGCCCTTGAGAATGGAAAAGTTCCAAAATAAACTAAGTGAGCTGCCAAACACTCTTAGTCAACTCTAAAGACATGTGACAGAAAAATGCAAGCCAGAGGGTTAACRGACTAAGACTATTGTCTGTTATAATTTTTTTTCACTACCACGCGTTAAGGGGAACAAAGTTGAGAGATATGCAAGTTGTCCAAGGAAAGATGCATTTTCTCCTGCAGCGACAACTGAYGCGTAGGCCCTATTCCATTGTATGGGCTTTATTTCTCAGATTTTGAACGAGCAATSCAAGTCTTTCTACATCACCATTTCATGGCTGAAACTGGTTTCATCAAGTCCTACCTAATATTGAAGTCCTCACATTGCATCGTACAGTAGCCTCAAAAAAGCCTTTCTTTTTTTGTTATACCTAGTAGCTGTCAGCAGCACTGGGTGAACACAGAACAACTTTACTCATTTTTGTAGGGCTTCATACTATCATCAGTCTTATGTTTCGGTAGAAAAYATTATGGTCAGTCCTGTTTAGCAGGGTTCATATTACTGTTCAGTGACAAAGCCCTAAATGGAAGGAGCTAATTAAGGAAAAAAGYTTATAAAGGTCTTTCAAGTCATTAAATGGAAATTTCTCTTTGATGTGCACTAGGAAGAACAGGAACCCAGGAAATGGTTAGAAAAGGGAAGTGCTGGCACAGAGATTGTGCCATTCRTACATGTCATTAGAGAGGTACCAAAGAAGCTTTTTGGAGCTCRCATACACTAGGAAATAACTGAGGAATACGCTGTTGGCATTAGAACCAGGCAGATACTAGAGGTGTCAAGTGCATTACACAAATTTGCAAATCCAGGAGTGACTTAGTCCCACAAAGGCTGTGGGGCTCTGGCTTGTCTTACCAGCAGAACTCCAGGCTTTTAACACATTACCTCAAGAGTCTGGTCTTAGGATCAACATCACACCCTGGCGGACTTAGTGCTCAGCTAGAGTTTGTTAAAAATATAGCAATTAGTCCAAAGAACAAGGAGAACAATAGATTTACTTGAATATGAATTAAATTCCCAAATTCAAATAAAATTCACTTCTCTTCTTTGGAAGAAAAAGTGAAGTGCTGTTTTTGCTTTTCTATCCAGCTATTTTAAGTGAGCCAGGGTATCAATGCTGCAGCATTTATGTTGTAATAGAATGGCTTATACATAAATAGCTAGAAGAAAAATGGAAGCATGTAGGAGCTTTTTTATCTTTCAGTAAGGGATGGTAGCTGTTTTAAAGTAGTCTAGTGTTCAAACCTAATGCCATGCATAAATTAATATCTCCAGTAAATGTAATAATTTCTTCAGCTTGTGTAACACCACAGGTCCATTAGTATATTAGATGAGCCTGTAATCTGTATATYTGTCAGTGACTTAACACTGGTTTATTCCGTTACCAGACTTAAAACTTATTAAATATTTKATATTCTGATTTATTCCAGAATGTCTCCTGTCTGTCTTTTGAAATGTTTRTCACAAGGAAAGTGAGAGAAGGAAGTATTTTCTATTGGTTTATGTATTTGTTACATTACCTGTGTTATCTGTGATACAYTCTTTTGCTCTGTAGGTATAAGGGATAGTTCATCAGCAAAATCATCATCACRTTCAATGGCATAAAGGCCATCAAGTCTTCACTGCCGAGGAGCTTTCCCCAGGTGTACTGAGGACACTCAGGCTCAATTACACGCAGCTTTATAAAAGCACTGAAAGAAGTTCTTCCAATTACCAGCTTTAATATTCTCTTGAAATGAAATTTAGGGACCAAGCCAGTTTAATTAGGTAATGTTTATTTTACATAGAACAATCTCCAAGGAATATTTTAAAAACCCAATCTAAATACTGATTTTATTGCATTTATTTTCTTACAAAAAAAAAAAAAAAAGACAGACAGGCACAATTTACGTATTCAAATACTTCAAAACTGAACAACTGTTCGCTATTCAGATTTCCCCAATACCACTCCAAAGGCTGTGAAAGTAGAAAATGTCATTTTGCACAAGGCAGTAGTGCATTTAGTAGGAATGAATCACAAAATATATTTTTGTGAAGTAAGTCGTTATTGTCGCTTTATAATTACCTATACAATTTTTTGAATTGCACAATAAGTTTGCTTTGCAATTGACAACTGCCACAAAATAGGCCTAGTATGTAACTAAATATTTGCTCAAACTATCCCTTAAAAACAAATTAGGTTTTCTTTTGGTAAATACTTAAAGTCTAGTATTAACTATATTATATATCTGAGGTAATTTTAAAATGTTTCAATAGGAAGAGGTTTATATATTCAACTAAATTCARTTTCTGCCTACCTTGAAATCTACACAATAGCTGTGTGTCCTAAAGAATGTTTTGATTTGAAAGTACCAACACCAATGAAATTTGAGCTGTTTAAATGAATCGATTTTTCCTGGTTTTCTGTTTTGTTATCAATGCTGAAAAGGCACTGTGTACATTCCTCTAAACATTTGGTGTTTTAGGGTTTTTTTTTAAAGTTAAAAAGCATCCAACGACAAACTTCAAACAMATGTTTATATGCAAAAAAATACTGAATAGACTTCCCACTGATTGATGAAGTCCATGATATCTGAAAATACTTATTTTCCGTAGAACTTCTTATTCAACAAGAATATGAGCAAATTCACATTCACTTTAGCTTTATCAAACATTTTCATTACAGCCACACCTTCATACTGCATCTGAAGCAAATCCTGAAATGAGAAAAAAAAAATCATTATTACTATCTGTCTAATTCCATAGCTTACAGCAACAAGACGTGATAAACATCACCAACTCCAGGTTGTTCATCATTTAAACAACTGCAAGCAACTGTTGGGATTTGCATAGAAAACATTATGTGTCCTCTGGATCCTAAATTGTAYAAAGTCAGTATAACAGCAAACCAGAAGAAATACTGTTTCTTGTGTATTTCCATTTTGTTTTAGTATTTCCTGCTTGCTGCAGAACTAATGTGGTGGTTGGTTTCATGCAGTTGCCCCAATATAAACATTAACTCAATGCCCATGCCCAGCATTCTACAGAAGTTATGTAGTTATTCTCCACATGATCTGCTGCTCTGTACTGATTGACTAATTCATGCATACAC